AGAAGATACACCTGCACCCTAAAAAGAAATACATTTTCCGAATAATTTTCATCAAAAGTGACATAAACAGATTCTTCAAAAATAAGTAACCTCTTATTATATATCCTATATGCTTTACTTGATTGAGAGTATCCAAGAAAGATACCTTCATCTGCCTTGGAGTCAAACTTACCAAGACTCTCCTTACCATTGTTCAACATAAAACATTTACAACCGAATACATGAAAGTGAGATACATTGGGCTTCCTCCCTTTCAAAAGTTCATACAGATTTTTGTTAAGAATAGGACGGATGAGCACCCTATTCAAAACATAACAAGCCGTACTAATGGCATCGACCCAAAAATATTTAGGAAGGCCACTTTCATTGATCATAGTTCTTCCTAATTCTTCCAAAATTTGATTTTTACATTCCACGACCCCGTTTTGTTGAAGGGTACGCGGCGCGTAAAAATTATAATCAATTCCATGTCTACCACAATATTCTTCAAAGAGTTGATTTTCAAACTCACATCCATGATCACTTCTAATTGATATAATGTTTGTGTTCAACTTGTTTTGAGAAAATTTGGCAAAAATTTCAAAGGCGGAAAAAGTATCGCTCTTGCTAGCCAAGAAGATAGTCCAGCAAAATCTAGAGAAATAATCGACTATCACAAAACCATAGAAGTTACCACCTAGACTCTTAATTCTAGATGGTCCAAAGAGTTCCATATGAAGAAGTTCAAGGGGTCTCGTAATTGATACATTTTTTTAAGATTTGAACGAGATCCTTGTTTGCTTCCCTATTTGGCACGCATCACATAATGATCCTTTGAAAACTTGATTTTGGGTAAGCCAATCACTAGGTCCTTAGAGACTATCATGTTTAGCAAGTCAAAATTGACATGCGCCAAACACTTATGCCACAACCATGAGCCTTCACTCATAGTGACAAGACATTGTCACTACTCAATGATACTTCACTCAAATCAAGTATATACACATTATTTATCCTCAAGCCATTAAACACATCCCCCTTTTTATCATTATTTTCAATTATGCAACAATCCTTTGAAAAATACACTTTATATCCCTTGTCACATAATTGACTAATGCTTATAAGGTTGTGTTTAAGGCCCTCAACTAGCAACACATCAAAGATAGTAGTAGACAAGGGATTACCTACACTATATTTTCCAAGTATTTCTCCTTTGTTGTTGTTTCCATAGGTTATAAATCCCTTCTTATTTTCCACAAAGTCAATGAAGAGAGATATGTCTCCTGTAATATGTCTTGAGCATCCACTATTGAGAACCCATCTTTTCTCCGTAGGCTCAAGACTTTATACCTATAAAAGTAATCAAAGGAAATAGGTACCCAATTATTTATTGGATCCTTAGTTGTGAGTGAAATCTTGGTTGCATTTAGGCAACCATTGATAAACCTCTTTAGGAACTAAAAACCTCCTAAAGCGATATTTAGCAATGGTGTGACCTCTTTTGCAACAATACAAGTAAGTGAGGTTAACCTTGGTATCACTTTTGTTACATTAATTATTTCTATCATTAATGACACATGTAATCTTCTAATTAGAACCTTTGACCAAAAAGCCAATCGTCCATACAATTTTAATGACCATAGTCAAATTAAATCTTAATACTATAAATGACATCACCTTTGCACGTGACAACGTCTTTAATGACTTTGCTCTTACAGACCTCACGATTGAAAAGCAAAGGACTGACATGTTTCTCCCTTAACCAGTTCACTCTTACAAGCCTCATGATTGAAAAAATATGGATTGTCATGTTTCTCCCTTAACCACGTTGTCATTAAGTCTTCATACTTAAGGGACTATAGAATGACATGTATTCTCGTATAATCACTTCATCCTTATAGGCCTCGTGCTCTAGGAACTTGGGATTGTTATTTCATAATCTAAGTCCAATAAGTATCAAACTTTTCAACCCATTAACACTTTTGCATCCCAACTAGTTTTAATATATAATTCACTACAATCCTTAGGAATTAATATAAAACTAAAGGTTTATTCACAAAAGAATTAAAATAAATCATCTAAAAAATAATTGATTATATAGATAATAATTTTGCATTGGTATATTTGTAAAGGATCTACAAGAGGCAATGTAAAAGACTTACTAAGGAGAGGTGACATAGCATGTCACCCACACTAGCTTCCTAGTCGTCTGTTTATTAGAACGAGCGTCTGTCATTTAGTTATGACACACATTTCTCATATTGCTCACCTTTCTATAAAAATATGGAGGTGCTATGTCTTAGTCCGTCCAGGTCTGGTAGAGGGATTCAAATGAAGGTAGTCACATTCTCCAGGAAAAATAACTACTCTCTTTTAACGCTATCGAAAATGGGGAGTGCACAATCTATCTTCTTGGGATCTGAGACCCAGACTCACAAGGTTCTTATAAATACCTCAATCTTGAGGTTGAAAGGGATCCAATTTTCATTACGAAAAAACATCACATACAGAGTTTCGCACCATTCGTGCGTGAACCTGCTCTAAACCACAATAGCCCTAAAATTATCTGATAGTCCTGCACAGCAAGGTGTTGTCACATATCGTACTTTTATCAAGTGCAATTGGCGCTTTCATATTCTTGCATTCGATCCATTCGTCCATTTTGGTGAACAACAAGGAAGTAACTCATGCCAATAGTAGTTCGAAAGTGGGTGAATGTCATGGCAGAGATGCGAGTTTCTATGGACGACTTACATCGCCAGAATTAAACCTTAGAGGATAATGTCTCCATATCTAAAAACGCCAACAAAAGGTTGGTCCTCTAGAAGAGACTAAATTCCTAGACCCCCATCCTCTCTTAGATGATATACGAGGGTGCCGATGCCAGAGAATTTCAAGCCACCCTCGCTTTCTAAATTTGATGGACGCAGCGACCTACATGAACATGTCGTCTCCATCAACATGCATACGGTGATTATTGAAGCTTCTGATTTCTTGAAATACAAGCTTTTTTATGACACCTTCAGAGATACATCTTTAAGATGGTACATGGATCTGCCTCAGCTCTCGATGAGCAACTACCAAAATTATTATTTTTTGTTAAATTTCAATCAAATTAAGCCAACATTCATTGACTTAAGCATTGCCTTGTGATAATTTATGTATAAAATTTACATCAAAAATTTTGCGGAAAGCTAAATCTATAAATTTAATTTAGATCTCAATCACCATTTTCTTAAGCAATTTACAGATGAAATCTACACAAATTTTTATTAACTAGTTTAATACAGTATATGACAGAACATGCCATCTTATATTATATCTATGGCTTTACCAGTGTTATTTCTAATGAGCATGTCACATGTCATGGTTAGAACACTCAAATGTGTGATCCTTTGAAAGGGACTATCCATAACATTGACAAGATATTGTTGCGTAAATGTGAGAATAACTTTTAGAACATGCAACACCAGCCTTGTGACTTTGACATAAAATATTATTCCAGACAACATTTACCAATATCAATTGGAAAATATGGACCCCTTTTTGTGATGAATATGAATATTACCTTTTAAAACAAACATCAATGAATAACATAAGAGAATCTTAACAATTCTATTTCCATCCAAGCCTATTACACAGTTTTTCTGAAATATTGTTAGCTTCAGGTCTTATGTATGTTAGTCATCACAACTTTGTCATTAGTTAAAAAAATACATGAGTAGATTGAGTTTATCTCTTCTCTTTATCAATATGAAGAAATCAACTGGTTTTCTACTGTAACTGAATCTGATATGACGACCAAATGAGGGTTGGATTCAGCGGACGAGGCTTTAGAATAGGGTTTTGTAACTTAAAAACTTGAGCACACGACTTTGGAGTACTGTGATCCGTGTGATGCAAATTAACATTGGTATGAGAGTGATCGAGAAATATACTTGCACGTAACGAAGCAACAACAATCCAACCTTTGTAATTAATAGGAATGTTACCTTTTAAAACAATCAACAATGAATGACATATAACATATTCTAAGCAAAATTCTATTATAACCTCAACTCTGTCACACGACATTTATGTAATATCTATATCGTTTGCTTAGATCCTAACAGAGTCATTGAAAAACTTTCCACATGCTGTTGAACATATCTTATATGGTGAAACTTTCCAACCAAGACAAGATTGTATTGATTGGATACTTATCTTACCAGAATCTGGAAAGCTAAAAAGTCAGTCATAGATGCAAAGTTTTCAACAGCCTATCCAATATAGTCCTAAAGTGACAAAATCTGGAAAGTGACAGGTAAACTAATTTAATTTTTCAATACAATATCTGATTGATAATGCAAGAAACCTAATTTTTAATTAATAGATCTGATTATAGTAAAAATCTTACAACAGATACTAGTTTAGATCTATGTAGCACCGGCACTTCATATTGAAAACAAGTCTGACACCGCACATGTGATTACCAACACGTTTCCATGTCAGTGTTTTGTTTTTCGTTCATGCTCTATAGGCCTAAAGTCTAATGTTCATCATGAGCTGGAAACATAGAAATAAAGACAAGATCCCACAAAAACTCAATCACCTCAAAGTAGATAATGGCAAAAACCTATGAAGGATTTTGAAGCCTTTACAACCACAACTGTGGCAACATCAGCAGCAACTTTCTACAAATTTCTTTTGCCAAATTGACACCATTAAATATTTCTAGATTTAGCTCTAACTTTCTGACAAAAAAGAAATTGCAACCACAAATTTCTACTATCTAATTTAGCATCATAATGCCAAGAAAAATGCAAGTTCCACATTCATAGATACATTTACTCAGAATCACCAAATAAGATATTTGCATAGATACACTAGTGATTCATAACTCATAAAATCATATAATACAATAAACAGAAAGCATATCAAATCCTAATCTTATCTTATTAGCTACATAGGAAAGTAAAGTTCATAAACAAAACAACAACAAAAAAGGATTAAATTACGGAAAATTATCAAACCATGATTTCTCAAGAACCTCTTGCACATGCAGTAATAACCTCACAACCTCTACTATAAGGATTAGCTTGTCTTGGATGACAGTTATAATAGGAAGCACCAGCTCTATCACAAGGAACCTTGTCTCTCTTCAAAGTATCATAGCTTATGTACTTTTTCTGCATTGCCAAAACTCTCCTATTTGACTCTGAATCCATTAGCTCAGTCTCAGTTAAACAGTCTCCAACCCTGTTTTTGATTACTGCATCAGTTTCAGAGTGCTTCAACAAACTGAGGCTAACAGTGGTTGATAACAAGGAAGTGCAGATTTGGAGATGGGTGTGAAAGAGGAGAAGGGTAAGAGAGAGGAAGATTGTGGAAGTGAATCTGGGTTGGGACATTGTGGTTTGTATCTGGAGGTTTGTTGTTTTTGGGTTTGTGATAGAGATGCTTGGTTGTTGAAGGGTCTTAAATTGGATAGACAAGAGTAGGGTGTGTGTACATTATAATGGTACTCACAACTAGTCAACTATACAGTATCTGGGTTTTTTTATACATTAATCAAACTATATTATTTGTTCATAAACTAAACACAAATTCTATAATAAATGTTTAACTCTTGTTAAAGTTGGTGATTTTCTTCAATCTTATATGAACGATGAGAGTGATTCTTTTCTAATTTAAAATTTACTTAGTAAAAAAAAACATGAGAGGGAAATTTTTTTTTCTTAAAACACTTTAACTTTTAACGATATTAATATTTAAGTATATTTTGAAGCGTTCTTTTGAATGTCGTGACTTTTACTATTAATAAATCTGAGAAATTAAAAATTGAGATAGATTCAAACAAAAATAAATAATAAAATTCAAGAGTTTTTATTGCCTGTGTTTTTTTCGATAACTCTCTTTCACCCGTAATCTTATGTGTATTTTTTCCGTCTTCATTTCCATCTTGCATTATTTCAAAGTTGTGACCATTGTTAGCAAAACTATTTCCAACAACACGAGGAAATCGCCTTTTTTGTTATATCCTATCAAATTCTGAGACCCAATTTTTCTAAAAATTTGTTCAACAAATTTAGGAGTCCGAAGAACCCTTGAAACAAGTTCAGCAGGTTTCTCACTCCATTCCATCTAATCTTTGTTGCAGATTTCCCATATGAAACCTTCTAGCTGACATGTGTCGCTTGAGGCTAGAAATATTTGATTCAATAAAGACTTTCATTAACAAGCTTCTTGGTTTCTTCCTCAAATGCTAGCCTTTCTAGATTTTCAAGAGAGTGATTATGAATAGTTTTCATGCAGTGAATATTAATAAGAAGATGATATTGATCTTTTAGAAAATATTCATTCCGGAACTCCCATTAATCATGATTTATTTTTGGAAATTCCAAGCACATAACAATGAAACTTAAACAAATTAGCACATCATCAACTATATATTGTACAAACTTTTCATCTAATTTGTATTTTGCAAAGACATCCTGATAATAGCTATGAAATAAGGATATCAGAAACACGATACTCATTTTGACACTGATATGTTGACGCAAATAATAATTTTAAAAAAATAAATTAATTAAACATAATAATTTAAAGAATAAATTAAAGATATTAAATACATAGGTGTTGAGTTGAGGGATGAAGTTGAAAAAATTATCGTGTTTGAAATACTAGCAAAGAAGAAGATGAGAGCATTCAGTAGGATTTTTGACGATAAAACTGTTAAATGATAAGTTTCGATTTAGAGGAGTATTAATAGATCACAAAATTAAAACTAAAATTTTTAGTAAAAATTTGTTTTCAAAAATTTATGGCACAACAGAAACAACCCGAATCGAATCATCTAATCAAACCTATTATCAAAAAGCTCGAATATGAATAACTTAAACCTATGGAATAATAATAAACACAAATTTTTCAACAATGATTAATTCACGGATCAATCAAATGCAAAACTATTTGTAATGCAAAACTATTCGTAAAGTTTATTTCTAATTAACACAAAGCAATAAAAATACTCAAGGACAATTTATCGAACACTTTGTGTGTGATCTATCACGTTTGAAAATTCAATTTGTTTTATTGATGTTAAAAGTCAATCACAATCAAAGTGATTATGATTATATCAACAACAACACTTTAAAAGATAGTTGAAAATAATTTTCAATCGAATTAATCGAAACAACAACAAAATCAATAATTTGCAAGAACAACAATTAAAGAGAGATAGTGTAGCATCCCAAAATTTTCTTCATCGTTTCTTGACCTACTGGCTTATGTTTCTCTCTATTTTGCATTTATGCATATCATGGCATTGGTTCTCGAGGCATGGGATCAAGGTATTTTTGTGGCTCACGGTTCTTTTTATTGCGATAGTTTAAACAGCGAGTATCAGAGGCTCTGACATTTATTTTGCCCAGCGAATGCCCGATTTTATTTTTATTCAACATGTTATTTTCAGCACAGGAGACAGGTCACAGGCTATCTCAAGCGTTTTCACAGTTATAATATTTAAGGGCAAGTTTCAGAGGCTTAACAGAACTCAGAACGGGCGAAAACGGACAATTGTGCAGGGTTTCCCTCCAAATGGCGCATTTTTTGCAAATTTGTGAGTGGTTAACCGATTAACTAATTTGCACTAGCAAATGGTTAATCGGTTAACCATAGTAAATTTTGCCCAGTAACGTGCATTCTCGATGCTGCCACTTTTGAGGTCTATTGTGATCAGTAGTGAATTTGATTTTACACCAGAAGAAGGATCTAGAATCACTCTAATTTTTTTATTAGCTTTCAAAATCAATTCAATTTTCCATTCCTAATCTCATTCTAATTTTCATAACCTCACTCCAAACCATAATTCTACTCCTAACCAAGAGCCTATTTAAATGATTTGCTCCAAACCTCACCATAACGATTCACCATAATCATTCTTGAGAATTCTCTCAAATTCTCTCAACTTTTCTACACTCCAAAATATCCATTAGAGGTCTTTTCTTTGAGTTCATTGATTCTTCATTGGTATTCTTGAATTCTAGAGGTAAACCTCCATCATTCATCTCCATCATCTTCAATTCATCCTTTGATTTTCGTTTGTATTTGGATCTGATTTTAGAAACAAAATTTGAAGTGATGCTTGGATCAATTTTGGCTTGTTCTTGCTTGTTCTTCACTTCTATTACAAGGAAGCTCTTGGATCTTGAAGATTCTTTGGGTCTCTAGTTTAGATCTATCAATTTACAATGAAACAACAATTACCAAAGCAAATCTCAGTTTTGAAGGTTGGTTAATCCTATATTCAATTCTGTTTTGAGCTTATTTGAATAATCACAATATAGATCTTCAAGTTTTGATTGATTTTGGTGATTTTGATCTTTTTGATTTGTGATCTCAATGCTTGATTAAGTTTGATTAATGTTTGATCACTGATTTTTGGTGTTAAATTCATTCATAATTGATTACATGATCATTTGGATGATTGCACATTGAATTAATTGCTGAAAGTGCTTTTGAATTGTTGTTTTTCTGCTTCTGGATCAGCGTTAAATGATTAACCAATCGCAGTAAAAAACTGGTTAATCAATTAACCAGTGCAATTTCAGCCATATTAGAGTGGTTAATCGATTAACCAAATTTGTATTGCAAATGGTTAATCGATTAACACTGGACCACAATGTGATTTTTGGTTGTTTTCAAGCATGTTTTGATTTCTTTCCATCTTTAACCTTCATAGATTAATATGATGCATTTGTGTGTATTATTTTTGACTTGTTTCATCATGCATGTTTGTTTGATCTCGATTTTTTGACGCGTAACTTTTGTTTTCCGTTTGAAATGCTTGACATGTTCATGTTGCTTGATTGATATGATGATCATATGCTTTGCTTGCTTGTATCATGTTAATGATTAATTGTTGATGATTATCTTGTTAGACTTGTAATGCATATTTGCGTTTGCTTCTGATTTCGTTTGTCGCATGTTCGTTTGATCGTTTAATTGCTTGAATTGATGTGAAAAGCATGTTGATCTTGTTTATTCTTAATGATGAAATATTGTTGAACCTTGGTGTTTGATTGTTGATGCATGTCCATCCTTGCATGATACTTGCTCATGATTGATGTTTGCTCATGTGGATTGCATTGAAACATGCTTGCTGCTCTGCTTTCTACAACTGTCTTATTCTGAATTTACATGTTGTCTATGCCTTACTTGCTTGTTGTCTGCCTTTTTACACCTACTTTTGTGATAAATTAGTAGCTGTTAAATGTTGTTGTGTTGTCTTGTTGTCTTTTATTGTTGTTTTATGCAGGAGGCGCTGTTGTAGTTGTTGTTTTTTCCTTGCCTTTGCATGTTCCCTTAGGATTCTTATTCCAATTTAATTTTTGATTAAATTTGGAGTAGAATAGACATTAGGATTATAATCCTTTACATGATAACAAGTAGGCTAGTCTCTTTTAACCTCAACCTTAGGTCCATCTTTTGCATGCTAACATTAGGGTAGAATTTCTCTTTCACATCCCGATCTTAGGACCACTTTTCATGACAACGTTAGGGCCGAGTTTCCCTTAGAACTTTCGTGCGTCTCTCTTCTCATCTTAAAACAATTCTAACTCACTTAATAAAGAAGATGAACATTGTGTGCTACGAGCCTTAAGCATATGGGGAAAATGAGTGGAGTCTCCTCACTCGTCTAGAGTGTTTAGTGTACGCCCCGTGGACGATATGTGATGCATTTGTTCCTATATCATAGTCTTTAGTGCAACGTGAATCACAAAGTAAAACTAATTCACTTCACTAAAACTTGCAAACAAAATTCAAATCTTGTATCCTTCAGGATTGTGTTTCAAACTCATTTTCAGAAAGAGTGCGATACTTTTCGTTCTATCATAAATAGGCATCGATCCTAACTGCTGGAATGGGAACTTAACGTCGCTCATAAGAAACACTTAACCAACTTGTGGCTTCGTAGTTTCCCGAACTACATTTGCTCTGATTTCTCATACCATATGAGGATACGTAGGCACAAGATGGCGATGTCTTGGCGAGCAACCTTCTCCCATCACCCGTAGTTTTTCGAACTACGTTGACTCTGACTTTCCCATTGCACGAAGGAATACGTAGGCATAGGACGGCGATGTCCTATTGAGTCTCTTTCTTTTTTTCCTTTGTTCGTGTTTCCATATAGCAGTAGCTTTTAGATAACATACCTTTTGATTAGACAACAAGCGTGGAACCTGTTGAGTACAACGGACGTGAGGGGTGCCACCTTCCCCTTGCTAACCGACTCCCGACCCAAGATTTGGTTGTAATGATCTTGTCTTTTCCCGTTCTTTAGGTTTTCTTCGATCGTCTCCTTTCCTTCTCCTTGGGATAAATAGCGTTTAATGGTGACTCTTCTGTT